GGATAACTACTAACAAATCTAGCCTAGCGGTGTTTGTCGGGGTGGTATGAAACAGTAGTTTACGCTCGTATTGCTCGTGTCATCAAATAAATCTTCGCCCGAACGAAAAGTACCCGGATATTGACTTTTTATCATATTGTAAAGACCGTCTGAACTTATAAAATCCTTTTGGTAATAATTATAGGAAAAAAATAAATATCTACGAGTTTATTTACTTCACGGATTAGAAAATTATCATTTTCTGACTCAAGATTTAATTTGATTACCTCCTTCATTTATGCTTTGTAGAATCAGGAATTTGAGACATCTTTTTTATATATTTTTAGAAAGGTACATTTCTAATATAAATAATTTTTTTGTGCAAATTGCATTAGTAATAACAGTTGAGAGTTTAAATATTAGGTAAGCAAAGACTTCTAATTAATAAAGTCTACATATTGTAAAATTTTATTCACGAAAAATTTAATATTAACTCATTTTTTGGGATTTATGTTAAAACAAAGATGAAGCCTTTCGTGTAAGACAAAATCCAAATTGAATTCTTCGAATTTTTGTATAGTACAGTACATCTTCCTCCTAATATTCGATATTCTGATTAGAAATAGTGACTAACCAGATCTACCGCGTAGTTTTCCATTTCTTTGTTTAATAAGATTAATTAGCAAAATCACGTAAAAAATTGGAGCAATCAAATAAAAGAACTCTTACGCGTACAATAAGATTGTTCTATTAACTATTTTATCCGAAAATACATTACTAATACAATTACGTTAACCCGCGTAAGTACCAATTTTCTTTATTCATTCATATGGTAACCTTCGGGCATATGTTTTAGTACAAAACTGCGCGCAAATAAAAATTTATCTCTCATGATTAAACATTCGGTCAAAAGACCGTGTTATACAGATTTGTAATGACGCGTGCTGCTCTGAGAATTCTTTGTTCTTTATTGCAAAAAGTCTTTTCCGAATAATACATTACTAATACAATTACGTTAAACTGCCGCGTAAGTACAAATTTTCTTTGTTCATTCGTATGGCTAACCTTCTGGCATGTTTAGTACAAAACCGCGCGCAAATAAAAATTTATAATTACATTCGGTCAAAAGACTGTGTTATACAGATTTGTAATGTCGCAGCTCCAAGAATTCTTCGTCTTTATAAAAGTTTTTCCGAATGGTATTATATTTTGTGAAAAAAGTATAAAAGTGCTATAATCCCAGATTTTGCTTTAAAACTCATTTCTTATTTACTAGTATATTCGTGAATATTCAATCGTAATTAAGTATATTATTATTAATTCCTTCATTAATCATGTCAATCCGTAAAAACTTAAAATACAAGCAACGCTTTCACACCAAGCTTGCTATTGAAAAAAAGCACATCTTTACCACTACTGTTACCACTCGGGGACTTTGCAGATACCTAAATGCTCATAAAAATTCAGTAAAGAAAAGAATACAGTTGTGTTTTCACAATCCATCCAAATCGATCACAACATTTGATCTATATAAATACACCTTTGACTCTAAGCACGTTAGGACGGCATACGCGTGCATCAATGAAAATATTAAACTTTATGGTGTAACTTATAATCTACGAAATAAAACTGTGTCAGCAAAAGAATTTGAAGCTTCGCTTGATTCTAAGACGAATATTACTGAAATTATTTATAATGGTCCTAAACAAATTTCTGGTTTCGATTTGGATTATAATATTCCAAGATGTAGCTATAAATTTGGTCAATTTAAAATGAAATTTTAAATCTTAAAAATGCTACCAAGGTCAACTTTATTCTTGTTTTATTTATATATATTATTATCCGATATTTAAATTTAATTTATATACTTGGAAGTTAATAAAGTTCAATAGTTCAGAAATTAACATTTGGCAAACATGTTATATTAGTAGTGTTTAATGTCTTTTGTTTGGAATTTCTATGAAGGCTTTTAAAACAAAGTAATTCCAGAATACAAAACTTCATGCCGCATCATTATAAAATGACTTTAAATCGGAATTCTTTTTAATTTAAATATTTAGTCCAATTTTAGATTTCACGGACGCTGAACTTTGTTAGTATATTTTTGTACTATTAATCAGAGTTCTTACGTGAAAAATTAGTATTTGCAAACGCTTCATGATATGGCATTAAAATATCATGCTATACATTGAATTGTTTTTACTAGTATTGGCTTATTTACTGAGTTTCATTGACTATGAGTGGGTTAAACTTGTTGGCATAGAATTATCAAACATCAAAGGAAGTAAAAAAAGAAAAAAAAAAACGAAATTGATATCAATAGAAAAGATAAGAGTAAAGTTCCTTACAAATAATAAAAGTTCACTCAGAGATAAAATAAAAAAAAAAAAATATCTCAGACTTAGTGATATATTTTTTTCATAATTTTTTAATTATTTATAGAAGCGCGCGTCAAAAATATTCTTTTCAAAATTGTCCTTTTTCGAGAATTATTACGCGAAAAGTCAGTGTAACTTTTCAATTAGACTTGTATACTATGTCATGTGACCTTATAAAGAATTAATTTTTATATAAAAGGGAATTTTATTATTCATTACCCATATATAGAGTGAATGTATATAGTATACATAAATTTAGAAAAGGAATTAAATAATTCTTGAAACAAGGGCAATTTTAAAATAAAATATTTTTGGAATTCTATACATGAAGGTTTTTTAAGATTTATGAGTCTTGCACGTGCAGAATATAGAGGGTGCATTTAGGGTCTAAGTCCCAAGCTTGGGACCGTGCTAAAGGGTGCGGAGTGCACTTATAGAGGGTGCATTTAGAGAGGTCTCTCTGTATTCAAAAAAAATTAAAGCCAAGAAGCAAAAGAGAAATAATATAAGAAAAAATAATGGGACATTCTGTTATTTTTCGAAAACTTGATATTACTCTTTTTATAATATTTTTTCATAAATGGATTTTATGCTATTCGCCGCGGTTACCATTTTTCAAATTAAAAAGAAGCTCCGTGTTTGTGTATGCTGTACAATATAAATATAATATATAATTCTAATTATACGCGTATAAAATATTATACAAAGTTTAATGTTCCAACTCTTTGCAAAAGCCTTAGTTCGTGATAGATTTTCATGAACTTGTTTGTTTAAATAAGGAGATCGTGGTTAATCTTTTTACAAAGCACAAAATGAAATTTATAAACATTTTATAAATCTAGAGCTGATCTGTACGTAATTATACGCGAAGAAAGGGGCCGCTCACTATTTCAAAAATTCAAAGCATAATTTTTTGTCATGATTCATTCAAGATCTCTTGTTAATACGAATTACGTTAAAAGACGATTTTTCTTTTTTATGATTAACCTTTCGAATAAAGTCCAAATTAACAATTATTCAATTATTCGAACATGTATCTTGTTTGATTATCAATATGGTTAACATATCTTTAATATAAATATCACACACCATCTTATTTACTTCTAAAAGACCCATATAAATTTAATTTTAATTTTAATAACACCAATAGGAAGAAACCAATGATGATAGGAAAATAATTACACTGATAGAAGAAACCCATGTTTTCTAACAATGATAGGAATCATTATTTTTTTTGCAAGATTTGGGTTTCCAAAAAATTACTACATAGACTTTTCGCGTCGGAAAAATACAATTTTGAC